TAAGGAGATTGACATTTGCTAGGAACAGAGAGCAATCAGTCCTGAGGATTTATACACATCATGAGAGATGACATGAATTTTGTCTGTCACGTACCAGCACTCAGCACTGAGCCTAGAGAAGCAATTATGAGAAGGATCAGCAAATCAGACTTAAGAGGCAAGCACCTGCTATAACTAAAAAGCTGAAACAAGACGAGGGAAAACCTAAGGAGAGAAAGAGAATTCTGCTGAACATTTGTGGTAACCAGGTGCCAAAAGCCATCAGCTCTCAAATTGCCCACCGATCGTGGAACGTGCTAAACAGATACCAGGGACATCTGATACAGATGAAGACGCAAATTTACCTCTGTCTATGTGCCCTTTGTTTAGTTAATAAAGATGTTTTGGTCAATGTGTTCTTACAGTAAGACACTACTTGTCAGCAATGGTTACAACTTCCATCTAAAGACATGAAACCCAGCATCTCACCCTAGTTACCATTCCACATACACCCTTCCGGTTCCTTCACATCAGCTTCACCGGAGCAGTTCTGAAAGAGACTCCAAAACCTCTCCCTAGGTTCTCAAAAAGCTTTGAGCCGAACAGGACAGCTAGTTTATTCACTTGGGTATATTCACCAAATCAATTTCCACTGGAGTTTTTAAGCATCTTGTTTATCCTGGTTACAAGTTTACACAGACACAAGCACATCTACCCACTATTAGTTTCCTACCCAACTCTGCAGCCATTGCCTTTTTTTTTTTTTTCTTTGCTACTGCTGATGCTTGTTCTACAATTAGAGCAGAACCAGTGCCTAAGAAGCTGATCTTCAAACTTCAGTCTGATTATTATATATTTTTTTTACAGCCTAGGCAGGTTCTGCTGTGGTTCGCAGAACATTTCATCCATCTGGCAGGCAATTAGCACAGCTCTGTCTATGTTTCTCCAAGGTGAGGCATTACCTTCCTACGTGAGCTCTCTCTTACACTATGCCATTGACATATATCGCTCTCAGTAGAGCAGAATCCAAATTTCATCCCCAGGATAATGTCCAGGAGAACATTACAACTGGCTAATTTTGAACCTTACCTTGTCACCAATCTCATGAGTACTGGTAGGACAAGATAGCTGTATTGCTAACCTGAGGAAAGGAGAAGAATCACCTTCCAGCCAACTGGTTTCAGTGCAGCAAGAGTATGTACCTGCAGAGCACCGTCCAGTCAAGAGTTTCCAAGAACTTTAGAAATGAGTATATGACAAGGAAAAAAAAAACCAAACTGCTTGGACATGGGCAAGAATCATCTAATTGTGCCCGAGAGCACAGAAATCAATATAGCTGTTTTTTAAATTTAGTAAACCTGCAGTATAACCAAAAATCACATACTGCAGGACATCTCCACGAATTCTTTCTCCAGAACCGTGCAGGCAGCTCGAGTGTACACAGTCAGCTGGTATTTCATTAAGTCCCTGTTTAACTTAAAATGAGATTTAAACAAACCTTTTGCCCTTACAGTGTAACAGCATTCATACCTCATCTGGAACCTGATCACAAGGTATCCAAGGGTTAATTAACATGCATGCAGTGCATGGTTTAGGCAATATTAAATGGAAATCTCTGAACAGACAAGTGTCACTGAGTGCAATGGAAATAAATTGGGCGTCTCCTTCCACACTTCAACCTTCTCTCCCTAGATTTGCTCAGAGCTCTCTATGCTGCTTGTTCAGTAATTTCACGCTACGCTGCTTAACAATGTAAGCATGGAGGCTCAATCTAAAACTGCACTTCCCAAATGTCACTTGTTTGTGAACACATGGCTGAACCCAAAATTGCTTTTAATATTAGAGTGGTGCCTGCTGGCACTGCTGTAGTTAAGGGTCTCTCAGAATTTCCATGATAAACCCCATTTTCTGCGGTGTAATACCATGACCATTTGCTACAAATAAACCTGGTATACAAGGTCACAGCAGACAAACATGGTTTTTAAAATGTTCAAACTAAGTTTGCTTGGCTATTTTTAAGTTCAAGACACTTAACACCGATTTGAACCTTCTTATGGTTCTAGGTTCTTCCCTCCATCCCTCTAACTCCCATTCCACCCCCCACCCAGCCCTGGAGCCTCGATTACTGCCACAGCGTCTGGTCTACGGCCTCGATGGGATACGAAGAGATTACAAGCACCAATGCAGGGTTCGCTACTTGAACGCTGGCGGGGGACAGAGAGGACAAATACATAACTTTTCAGCATGAGGATGTTTCTGTTACAAGAATCATTCCAGCTGCCGTTACTAGCAGTTTAGAGGTGTTACCCACTGGCACAGTGAGTTCATGTATTTTATATTTCATGGTGTATTTCATGTTTATATTTCATGGCACAGCCACTAGCACGCCTAACAGAAGATGCTTTTAGACCACTGTAGTTTCAGAAACGAAATCATAAAATCTATTTGTTTATTTCAGAAAAGGAGCGAGCTCAGATATCAAATTTGTTGGCTAACAGTGGAGTCCTTGAAACTATGGGCTGAATATTACTGAAAAAAGATAAACCAGACACCTCACCTCTCAGGAACCCAATGGGCTGAGCTTTCCGTGGGATGAGCTTCTCAGACACCAATTATTGAGCCATTGGACAGTCAAATACTGCCTGCCTGCTGCTGCTGAGGGAGGATAGAGAATACCAAAGAGGGGAAAAAGCAGGGGAAAAAAAACCCTGTGGGATGACAACCATCTTCCTTTTCTAGTTGGGTTAATGATGTTCACTTATTAAAACGGAAAAATAGGAAGAAACAGCATGGGGGTTTTTTGTGATTCTACAAGATCCCTTGAAGCCTGTAGTGCTAGAAACAGCACGAGCCTCCCAAGCAAAGAAGTGTGACTCACATTCGTCACAAAGCAGCCACTCAGGCTGATTAATACAAAACACTGATTGCTACCGAATATAATTCTGTGCAGAAGTTTCAGCTTGGCTCAAAAATGGCCAAAGGCATTACAGCAAAAAGGTGGAGGGTTAAAAAAGGCACCGTCAAAGACCCCAGGATCCCAAAGCTGAGAAGAAAACGACGCCATTCAGTAATCATCTACCTTTTACTACTCTCAAATATAAACCTTTGTAAAAGAAAAATGGACATCACTACATTGTTCCACAGATTGAGACACAGATGTACCTGAAGTTCGTTTTGAACAGAGTTGGTTTTGCCCAGAACAAAGCATTAGGATGCATTACAGAAGTTACAGAGTCAAGCTGGGTTGATAGAAGAAGAAAAGTAAGTGAAGGGGATACTATAAATGCTATTCTAGAGTGAAAACTAAGTCTGCCTTTCTGGAAGGGAACATGTGAGGCAATTTTAAACTGCTACCCCACTGTAATCCTTTCTCCTTTCCCCAAAGACTTGTGTGGAACCGAACCCTGATTCAAAAATTCACAGATCCTACTGAATCAGTTAAGCTGATCAGTTATACTTCACACTTAAAAACAAGAGCACGCAGTATGTGTGCTGCCATGAAAACCATCACTGACTTCAGAATTGTCAAAAGTAACAAAACATACAAGAAATTTGCCCTAATGAGGCATAGTCACACAAAGCCATTCCACCATGACTCTCCCCTTCAGGGAGACTTCTTGACTTCATGACTTCTTCCCCTTGTACAGGGCATAGAGAAATTCAGATATTTTCAGAAGCTTATTACCATAGTCTTATTAAAGCTTAAAAGTATTTCCAGCTTATTCCTTCCCCTTCAGTGTGTACCTAATGACTTGTATTCAGTTACATCAGTCACCTTATTCACTGTGAAATGCAGTTTAGATGCATCAGAAAACTAATCCTGACTTACTTGTCTCAAAACAACCTCTTCACAAGGTGTACGTAACATCTAGCATTTGAGGAAGTCATTACTATGCCCTCAAAAATGACACGAATTATCAACAGGCATAAAATGGCAACGTGGCACAATGAAAGAGCACCTTGTCAAAACAATAGCACTTTCCATTTTCTTCTTAAGGGCAAGTCTCCCACTCTCATTCCTTTGTATTTCACGACCTAGTGGTTTTAAGTAAGCCTTCATCCAAACAGACACCTACTTGGGTTGCCATTTTTCCATAGTCAATCCATCGCAAAGTGGCGAAGTTAGTAGACTCAGCACAGTTGAAGCCGTGATTGAAGCCAGCATGGTAACCATACGGAAATGTAATCATGAACTCTCCAGCTTCCTGGGTGATCTGAAAAACAAAACCAAAAGGAATAGACACCCCACAGATCAGTTGGACGTAGCAGCTTGAGAACAGAGACCTATAAAAAAAAAAAAGGCACTGGTTAAATCTCTCTCTCTCAACTGGAAGGTAGGCAGAACAGTCATTACCAACTCTTGGCTAAACCTAGAACAATTTCTTGTTAACTGCAGAAATACGGAAGTATTTCCTTTAAGGAAAAAAGAACAGTACAATGATGGCAGAGGTCACAACATCTGAACTATTTAGACTCACAGGCTTCAGTTACTAAAAGGGTCTCAGGCTGCAGACTTCCAAAAGATCAGTAAGTCTTTAGACTGTCACTACTTTAGCTCATGGCAGGTCCAAATCAACACTCCCACCACCACGCTAGTGGAGCCAAGAAAACTGAATTTCCCTCCTAACACACACTCTACATTGCAGGGTCCTACTGAAGTACATGCTACCTTTCACTCCATTTCCCCAATCACATTACTCCCATTTGTTCACCCATAAGTCAAACACCCTAAAAATTACAGCCCACCATTTGTCTACTTAAGTAAAATTAAAACAACAATAAGAACTATGGACATTATTAATATAAGGTTTAAAAACACTGCAGATTACAGCTGTAATCAGAGGCCCATCAATTTGCAATGCTTCTAGAAAATCCTCTTTTAAAAACTTATGCAGAGAAGACATTGGGGGGAAAAAAAGGAATTTCATTCTTAGAGTATGGCACAGACCATATGAGCAACTGGCAGTGACATGGCGCGCTTGGAGCAATCCTTGCAGCCCAGCTCTTTAGCTTAGCAAGCATGAGATAGCATCTCCCTTCGATGGATTAGGAAAGAGGTAAAATTTGACCTTCCCTGTCCTTCCAACCCAGAAGTGCTGACAGACCTTTCACAGCAGTCACACAACGAGCAACTCCGTTTGGATTCCTTCCCACCAGCAGTAACTCACAACACAGCAGTTCAGAGCCTACAGAGACTTCAAAGAACTTAGACGTACGAACACAAGGATGTGTGGGTCCAATGATGATGGGTCCAAATATAAAGCATTTACTCACTTGGCTGCACTATCACCTAGACTTGCTCATGTTATTATTAGCAGAATAATTTAAAACAAAAAAAAAAGGGGGGGGTGGGGAGAGACTAAAAACTGATATGATAATACAAGAAGCTTCCGCAGTATTTCTGGATGAGAGGTGCTGAAGTCCAGCCTGTACCCAGCTTCACGGAGCATCCTCCCATCCAGCCCCCTCCATAAATCAAAGCGGAGCGGTAGATTGCTAACTTCAGAAGATGGAAAGATTATGTTTCTGTCAGGAAATCTACATCCTGGTGTCTTCATTTCAAGCCCACAGTGTATGTCCTCCGTGTCACTGCTGTCAACATTATCCCTACAATAAATTAGAAAGCACTCAAGATGATGGATAGGCCATGCAGAAAAGTAATAACTATTGAAGGGAAGCCAACACAAACTGCCACTCATGAAGAAAGCCCTAAATTTACTGACTTCTGCAAGCTCTTGAAGAATAAATGGAGAAATCAATAGGAGATTACAGAAATACACATTTTTAATTATTAAAAAGCCCTAGTATTGATCTGTTTCTTTTTTTCCAGAAGTAAATACCATTATAGAGATTTATAAATGCGTGCCTATTCATTTCATTGAAATCTGCCAGGAATTGAGACGAAGGGATCGTATCTCTCTTTGTAAAGAAAAACGGCACGTGTTCGCTGTTTCTGAATAATAGTGATCCTCCTTCGAAAGCTACTATTTCAGGAGGGCTTCAGATATAGGCTGCTCAGACAAAAGAGATCTCCTCCTTTTTACATGTAAAAACATCCTTCCAGTGACTGCCAGAGAGAAGAGAGAAGCTATCATAAAAAACACGCTCCTCCTATACTCTGTAAATAGAATTCCTAATCCTGATTTAAGTAATGTGTTTATAATACCCCTTCCTTTAAAAAGTTTGGTTTCGACAGTAACCTAGTCCTGTATGTGTACACTGGTCTCTTCTACTTTTTGGAGAGTAGGGCGACAAAAATCAGATTCTTAGCATTCAGATAGTGCGTATTTTAAAGGTTTCTATGTACACTCAGTATGAAAGAGACACCAGGCATCAATCTGCAAAAAACCTTCATGTCACAAATCACAGTGGGAAGATTCATAGTGGGAAGCCTAGCTAAGCAGGGAAAGACTTTTTACCAAGCAATAAATTAGCTCCCTTATTTAAACCCCTTTGTATCCCATCCCTATCACCTTACATCTCAGTAAAGCTGACTTGGGATAAGCTTGGAAGGGAAGTTTTCCTCCACTGCTTTTTTACCAACTCCTTTGCTCCTCTTGGTTGGTTACCGATCAGAAATCACTTAGTATATAATTACTAGTCAATGCCACTTTCCTCAGATAGATGGAAAAGCCAACATAACAATGTATTATCCTGGAGAAAAATATGCCCACCTACAACATTCAAACACTTGAAGTCCTGCAAGAATTTCTTTCACCTTCTGACCTCCAGCAGCCCCAAAAGCACTGCCCCAGGATGCTGCTTGAATGAAATGGCAGAAATCAATTCCCATTTCCTATCCTCCTCCATTCTGCAGGACGACTGCATGTCACGAGAGGATCGCACGCTGAACTTCACTTAGAACGGCTAGTGTGCACCAACAGGTACTTTTGAAATTATTCTTTTCAGCTGCTTCTTTAGATAAGCAGTGCACCCCTTCTAGGCTCTGTTCAGCCAATTATTGCACCACTTACGGCTTCTGGTTAAAAACTTCATACGGAAAACACCACGAGAAGTAGCGAGACACAGCATTCACCTGACACCGAAGCAGAAAGAAGCATATGAAACCCTTAAACCTCACCGTTCAGGTCAATAAATGAAGATAAAGTCAGACAGATTTTTCAGGAGCTTGCACTGGCTACAGATTTTTTTACTCTTTTCTGAATACGGTCGGGATAGAGAATGTCTTTTATCATCTACCAAAAGTAATTTCTCATCTATGCATTAAACTGAGATGCCTCCCATATTCCAATCCACACATCATCTCCCATATTCCAATCCACAGGATCACTGTCCTGAAATTTGTAAAGTGAAAATCCTTACCAAAAAATTCAGACCCCACAATTAGTTATTTTCATTATTATTTTCAACCATGTGTAGCAGGTAGCTGTGTTTTCACACTTGGGAATTAGGTTCCACAGACAGAATTACAAGAAAAAACATTTGTTGCTCTCTATGAACAATTTAGTATCAGCCATCGTGTGCAAACTAGGCTGAGCCTAGCTGCTGATGTTGAACCATAAGCACCACATTGCTTCATGCAAGTCTCCCCTGCACTGACAGCAAACTCATCTGACAAGCCAGATGATCACACTTCAAATTTCATTCATCATAGCCTTCCACCAGGAAAAATGAAACAGTCTCTGGAGCAGTAAATTGAATGAATTCGTAGTTTTTATGCTATAAAAGAACCAAGATCTTTTACTTCCATCTCAAAGAATCACCAGGCTCATCAAATAGCTGCTATACTTTGTCTCAGGTGGACTAACTCTAACAAAAACATGCTTAAAAAAATAAATAAAAAAAAAAATCAGAACTGCAGAGTTCTTACCTAGAAAAAGATGGCCATAATATCTACAGATGATGATGCAAAGGGGATGGGGAAGGATGAAATCGGTTTGAATTGGGCATTTTTTGACACTTCCCACTGCAGTTAAGATCCCAGTACCTCTAACTCAATTGCTTTTCCCACATCCAAAGGCAGGACACCCTGGCAGGACAGGCTCTGTGTGCTGGTAACACACAGCTTGTTTGATTCTGCACAGATACTAAACCCATGGTAAGCATGCTTGGCTGAGGAGATTTACTTCTTGCCAGAAGACTTTAAGAATAAGCATATTAAAAAGATCATACCAAATAAACATGATCCCTCATTTCAAATAAGAGGACTTAAGGATTCACGAATCCTTACTGGCTTAGAGAGAACGCTTACACAACAGAGAAACAGCACGTCTAACTCCAGTTTTTGATTCATGCCGGATCCAGGAGAAAAAAGTCTGTGTTCAAAGAATTACCAATGAGTTATGCTGCCTACTGATAAGCCACAGCGTCTCTATTACAGTTTGCCCCTCTCTACCTGGAGAGGCTCCTTAATTGACAAAGTTAGTTCTAGCGAAAGCTTTAATGAAGAGAACCACTTCAGAGAAAGCATCTTAGTCAAACCACAAATCCTCATTTACAGGCAACCACCTGGTTTAAACCGATAGGATACGTTTAGCATAATAATGCATTCAGAAATTAAGCAAATTGCTCCCCAGGGGCTTGCAATGAATTGTTTCCTTAAAATTGGGTGCTGTGCTTTGTGCACCTCAACAACTTGCCAATGTCTTCAATGCATCCTTTGTACATACCCGGTCAAAAGGAATGCCATACTTCTTCAGGATGGAGGGCGAAATGAGGGTCATCTTGTGACGGAGGAAAGCATCACATCCCTGAGAGCTTCCTGGAAAAAATCCTGCAGAGACATTAACAAGACGAGTATCACTGTAGGAATATTATATCCAATCATTACTTAAGCAGAAACAAGCTGGCAAAATCAAAACCTGCCTCAATACTTTGATATAGATCAAAACAATAGGCGTACAAGTGAAGATGTCAGTAATTGGCACATGCCTCATTGTTTGAAATACCACATCAATTTTGTGACAAAAACGTGCATGTTGGGGCATCTACATCTGAATTCACAGAATCATTAAGGTTGGAAAAGACCTTTAAGATCATCAAGTCCAACCATCAACCCAACACCACCATGCCCACTAAACCATGTCCCGAAGTGCCACGTCCACGGGTTTTTTGAACGTAACATTCCATTCAAGCTAAGAGTTAGCATGTAAGTCTTCTATGTCTGGGAATAAGCAACTTGGGTCAAAATCTCAGTAAAACCCTAGCAGACTAAGCTGTCTCAAGTTTTGGGTAGTACCCTAAACCATGAGTCACCTGTTTTCTGAATATGGACAAGGGAAGAGTAACAAGCATCATCATCTACTCCAAACACTGCTGTGTCCTTTTTATACCTCCTGTGATGGGCTGCTGTATTATTCCCGGGAAAGTGATACAACTCATAATATTCTAGACCAATCTGCCCTACATACCACCCACTAAAGGAAAAAATAAGCATGCAGATGTTAATATTTGGTCAAAAGAAAGGAAACAAAACGTATCCATCACAAGGACACCCAGTTCACTGGCCACAGTGGGCACTAACAAGTCTGGCAGAGACAGTATGATCCGACTCAGACAGCATCTACGCGCTATGAAGTGTTAAGTTCTACCATAGCTACAGGATCCACACTGAGCTATTAAAACAAATCACAAATAATTAAAAATACTGAAATTGTGGTAAAAACTGACTAACCCTTTGATGTCAGCACTTCGCTCCCAGAAATGTCAGCTAAACCAATGTAACATCATTTTCTTCGAGACCACGTGTTCTACTCCAAGTGGGTGATTGAACAACAAATTATGTGTTTATAGGGATTAAAAAACATCACCATTTAGAAAAATAAGTAACCCTAGCTCTGGAAACAAAACTAATTGATGAGACATAATGGAAGGGGTTTCAGAAAGTGAAAAGGATTACTGGGTTCCAGGTTTTCGTATGTTTTTGTACTAAAAGCATTTCAATTAAAATTATGACTGTCTGCTACCCAGTCTGTCATCCCTCTCTGCAGTTCCTCTTTTTAATGCACAGTTTAAGTGGCTCTCATTAAAGCCACTAATAAAGAAGCACATTTTAAGTGATTAGCACCAATAACATGGCAACGACATTAACATTCTCTCCATGGGCTCCATAGCTCTCCCAGTGAGCCCATTTACAGCTCAGCTATTCATTTTCCATATTAATTGCATACTCTTTTCTCCATAGTAAACGTCTTCGTAGTACAGACCGCTGATGCACAGGACAGGGAGAATGCCCAAGCAACGATACGGCTTCACTGTAGTTTCAAAACATTACCCATCCCAGCTTCCAAAAGGTACTAACAGAAAGCGAAAATAAAGACGAGATCATTGATAATTTGCTTCTAGTTTACAGATTGCCAACCATTGACGTGTGTCAAAAATTGAGCGTCAGTAAGAATAAGTTACAAAGTCAGACTTCGGTGTGATATTTCAGATTCTATAGAACGCGGGTCATCTGGATTTTTTTGATTTTTTAGTAGATGAAAGTAACTTTTATAAAACCTGGCAAATGACTAAACAGAGGTGTAGCTGTGAAATGCAACATTTCTGAGCAGTAATTTTCAGTATTTTTTCTATTTAGGGATCATGGCGCTCAGTGCACAGGAAAACAATACTACCATGCCCTAGGACATTTATACCCATTTACTTGACATTTATCCTACACATCCCATTGCTCCCTTCAACATCCTCCCCTTTTTTATTCACATATGAAACAGTCAATAGCATGTCAGACTACCGGCAGGAAATGCCATTACTATGAATGTGTCTTTCTGGAAAAACAGAGCATTTCTTCATTTTGCATTGGAACGGTCTTCCAGATTTTCCTGCCCGCTTCTGCTGCGCTAACTTCAACAACAGATTTTAAAAGTATGCCTCAATGAAGATGAAACATGTAGATTTTGAGTTAATTATTCTGGGACAGGATCTTTTTTTAGCTGGGCAGCGCTTAGAACATTTGCAAGTGAACGAAAATAGCACCAAAAAGCAAACACAACATCAACAAATTAAAAATACTTCTGCAGTCAGAGATCTTCCCTGAAGCTTCCAGCATTACCAACCAGAAATCAGCAGAAAAGCCAAGGCCAGGACGCCGAAGGCTGCGCTCGCGGCCGCTTACCAGGCGAGCCTGGCAGGTAGTCGGGCAAGAACACATACACAAGGTTTTCGGGAGCTGAGGCTGGTGCTTTGTAAGGCCAAAAATTTACAGCCAGCCTGGTGAGAGGTGGAAGTTTATCACAGCCCGAGCCAGCCCTGCTCTTTTTTTTTGTTTTTTCTTTTTCTTTCCTCCTTCCCACCCCCCGCTTTTTTCCTTTTTTTTTCCTGCTTTTTTTAAGATGGCCTTTATTGCACTGAAACACAAAGGAGGATGAGACCGGAATAAAAGGAAAGCAACCACATACAGTGTGTATCATTACAGAGGAAAGCGAGAAGTCCGCTAGCTATTCTCTACGAATGCTGTTGCTGAATTTGTAAGCACTTTCCTATTTAAGACTCAAAGTCATCAATGCTAGAAGAGCTTTAAAGGTCTCCAACCCAAACTATTCTACGATTCTATGAATGCTAATACTGTACATGTAACATTTGAAGTGTAAGAAGAAAGAATAGCTCCTAGCACCCTTTTTCGCCGCAGACCGTGTCTATAGGGGCATCAGGAAGACTCCGCAGGCTGCACTCCACGCAGCTGAAGCGACAGTTCTCAGTTCACCGTGATAAACCTCATATTACACACGGAGATGCAGGATGGGTCTCTTATTAAACCCATTTCTTTATTAAACCCATTTGGTCTCAATACCTCAAAATTCAAGGGTTTTTTTCTATCGATTTTAGTTAGGGTCATGGTGTGCCAGAAGACCGAGGCTTTGAGAAAACAGTTGCACTAGCAGGAAAATTCACTGACAAGTTTTCTGACTCTGAAGCTTTATACCAATGCAGCAGGTTCATCAAGCAGCTCTTGCAAGATTAAATTATACCAGCCAGTTCAATGTCAATTCTTTATCAATCCGTTTACAAATCAAGGGTAGGATTCTCCCCTGGGATGCCTGTTTTCACTGAGAACACACCCATGTGTTTTTCCAAACGAAGGAGGAAGCAAAGCTTACCTTTCGCCAGGCGTTCCAATCTCTTGCCATGTTCTGGAGGTATGGCATACCTAGGAGGAAGTTAACAAAGAAGAAAAAGAAAATATTTTTTAAAATCACTCTATAATGTAAAAACAGTGAAAGAAAAGGAAGGCTAGAAACCAGTGTGGTAATAGCTTTTAGCACAGCACGCTTACAACTAACCTCTGGAAATACAACCAAACGTTTAGAAGTCTGGAAGGTCTCAGTAACACATAATTATAATACGTGGAAGAAAGCCTGTATTTTAATAAAAGTCCTTAGACATGTTATATGATGTGTGATATTTTCCTGCAATTTTTTTAAACAGCATCACAGGACTTCACAAGGTAGAAGGAGAACCAAGAAGGCAAAGTGATGCTACAGCACTGGGAAAAAAACAGAAGTAGATCAGTATAGGGAACAGCAGGCGTGTTTTCTGCAGGAAAGATACCAGCAAAAGAAAACCATGAAGCTGTGATAAAAATTAACACACAACAAATTCTGCATGGGCTGAGAAGGTGTGAGGGAAGGTCTCTGTGTGTTGGCATACCTACGGCAAATTAAGATAAACTTTTTCAAAGAAAACTGTGTAAATACTTCTCATTTTATTAAAAAAAGTAAACATTCTTCACAATGGCTGAAGCGGTCATTCCTTGTATCTACGCTGGACTGTGTTGTCTGATGTGAAATAACAGAATTAAACTATTCGATAACTTTCTTGATGAGGCGAATGAAAAAGCAAGGTCTTCTGAGGAAAACAACATTAAAGGGCATAGGGAACAACTTCTGCACTTTTAAAAAAGACAGTTTTGTTAGATCAATGGTAAAAAGAGTGCAAAATAATTTGACTGAAATGCGGGTTTTTTCCCCCGCAAGTGCAAAGTATAGAAACACAATCTACTGCCTGAAATCACACACAAGCCTAACTGCGATATTCTCCTGTGATCACTGGAAAACAGCAACCGAGTCCTACTTCTAGAACAGTTTTGCCACGCGAAGAGAGAAGACGCTAGGTACAGAAAACCGAAGACTGTTCCTTTCTCCCACCGAGAAGCCTTCCACCGAGCTCCGCTCTGTGCGTAGCAGCTCGTAACTGCTGCACACAAGCTCAGTTCGCTTCAGAAAGGTAAAAACAAACAATTTCTGTTTTCTTGCAGGCAATTTGGACACTTCAGCACGCTTTAAGGTAACAAAAATGTTAAAAATCACTTGGAAAAAAAATGCAAAAAAAAGCTTCCAAGCGCTGCAGAAAGAGCGCTGGGTGTGATCATTATTTACAAAAATCAGGAGAGTTTCAAATGGTGGGTTGTCTTCCCCGACGTTGTTAGTTACCTTACTGCTTTGAAGTTACACTACCTCAATATTCACAGAAGCAAAAATCAGGTGACTAGGATTTTATGCGTTCAGGTTATAAGGAGGGAACTAAATACCATGATACACTTAAACATGTTTAATGTGATGACACACACAACAATGCCAGTGGAGTTTTGTAAATTGTTGCTGACATACTCCATCAAATGAAATGCGCATACCATTTTTTGTAACACAGAGTTTTGAAAATTTACATTAAAGGGAATGACATTTATTGCCAGCTATAACTTTTGTGCAATGTGAATAATAAAAAATGCATTATTTTTGTTATTTCCAATAAAGATGTCAAAACCATCACGTCTCATTATAACAAGCTGAAAACAGGATATTGTAGTGGGGAAACTGCACCATCTCCACAACAGGTAAACAGTATTGCTCTATTTATGATACGATCTCTCAAAATACCCCTTTCAGCCAGTCCCCTTGCTCAGCTTCTCAATTTTCAAGTCTAAAGTTTTATCTACAATGTCAGGAGAAACAGATAGAAGTCATGTCCCGTATTGTTTCTGTACAAAACCAAAATTTACCCGCTACTGTCAGGTAGGTTAGAAAGGATAACGACGGACAGAAATCATACATAGGATGTTTCAAGATTTAGACATTAAGCAGATTTAAACTGATGGCTTCAAAAAAAATAAATCTAAGGGAAAACACTATGTAGTACCTAATCTTGGAAAATAATAAATATAGCAATGGACTTGCAACATCCTCTGACCAAACTCTAAGGGTGCCTTAAATTGCATAATTATCAAAGAATTCAATTTCATTTGTCGGGGACAAAGCTAGTAGCTTTCGTTTTACAAAGACCATTCATAACTTACATAAATGGGATAAAACTAATCCCGTTCCAAAGCTCCTTTGTGGGATTAATGTCCCTTAAAACAGGAAAATGAGACATTCCATTACTTCTGGGAAAAATGCTGAAGGATTGGGAAAGAACTAATTTATGGCTACAAGGCTGCCGATGATTAATGTAATATCCCCAGTCTACAATGCAACCTTCACTTAATTAGTGCCTGTAATTGGGAGTTGTAAAGATAAGATTAATTGAATCTTGAGGATGTTAAAAGTTTAATACATCGGAACATGGTTATTGTGTTATCTGAAACTGCAGACTGCAAAAAGCCAAGCTGAGCTTGAGAGAACGGTCCATGGAGAGACAAAGAAAAAGGGCTTGCTTGGATAGAAACCAGCAAGAGAGGAGGAATTTCCAGCTTATAAAAAAGAACTACATGTAATAATATACCAATCAGAATACCCCACCACAGAACAGCCTCTCAGTAACGACCAACTCCAATTTTAGAAATTAAGGTTTTTCTTTGGCCAGTCTTGTAAGCAGAGCCTATACATCCTTACACATTTATTCTTAGGAATTCACAAAATGAACTGCAGAAGACAATTAAGTGTCGGTTAAATTCTGCTTTAAGTTACGCTCACAAATCTTGACTGCTTTACATAAAGATAGGCAATAAGGAAAGAATTTGGGCTGCTGTTTAAAACCAGTAACAGAAGGCTTCTGCAAGCACCACACAGATCAAGCCAGATAGCTGAACGTAGACGTAAAATGATTGATTACAAAGCAGAATAACAACAGAGGCGACACGGAAAGATTAGGAATTGCTGCAATCAAAGGAGTAGTGTTATTGAGCGTATAAACATCCACGAAGGGCTGGCTTTTGTGTACGACCTCACAGTAGCATCCTCCCATTTTCACTATGAAAAATGGCCAGGCACTTGTTGGGGACAAAAATCCTTGACAGAGGGAACTGACAAAATGCTGTCATTCGGTACGATTTGTTACCTTCCCTCTTGCACCCACAGGCTGGGGCTCAGATCAACAGTAAAATATCTTTAATTCCAGAGACAACTGACAAGATTATGCATGGCAAAGCACACCCAGTAATTTCCTTTTCTATATGCATGACTTTGAATACTTTAAGATTTTTTTTTTTTTACCAGCCTAAATACTAAATGTAGTAGGTTTCCTCTAGAAAAATACAAAAAAAACTACTTTATCAAAATCTTAAAAAAATAAAAATATGCTGGTTCCTTCCTCTGTACCATTCAGATCATAGCACAAATGGGTTCCACAAAGACACGGAAAGACAAGAAAAAAACTCAGAACAAAATACCACTTTTATATCAATTGGCCAAAATAAGCCTACAGCACCCACAAAAGATCTTGTATTGGGCTTTGTCGAGACTCTCGGACTTAGAACTGCCCGATGCTTCACACCTGTTGTCACAAAACTGCTTCTGTCATCCCTCTGCCTGGGGAAAACCGAATCAGGAGTAGAGCAGGACTAACTTTGATCCAGCGCTGGGCAGACACTTCCTTTTAACCACAGCAAAGATGGAGCACGGATTTTCCATTGCCCCAAACAAACTAAATAGAAGTAGTGGTGGCAGCATAGATGTTTTAACAGCCCTTCTTAAGAACCATCGTTTTATAAACTACTACTGCTTCAGAGAAAACATCTGGAACAGCCAACAGAAAACAGAACAGTGACAAAAAGCTGACCCTGAGCCATTGCTTCAAGTGCAGAATCTTTCCCTGCTGGTTCAACCTGGTTCCCCAATAAAAGCGAAGTTACGTAGATAGTGCTGCATCAGCAACTGTTTTAAGATATATCAAACTTCCAAGAAACTGGGCTTGCAAACAAACCAAGAGAGCAATGCCTTAAGTACGTATTTCCAAGGGTCAGCTTTGCAGTGGCTGACCAAGACAAAGGGCCAAGCTTAACCTGAGAACCTGACACTCAGCAATTTGTCGGATTACGGCATGAATAACGTCTTGCTGCTTTGCCAGGGAACACAAGATTTACAGAACGGGGGGCGGGGGGGGGGAATAAATCTCAAGATAAAAAAAAGTTATAGCTGTATGACTCAAATGTCATCTTACCCCAAAGTCAACAATCTGAAAGTAATATACTGATTCTTTTAAATTACCTTTTTCTACTCTTTCTACCAAAGCAAAAGCAGGTCCCTGAAATGGATTAAGTATCATTTCTACAAATACAGAACTTACAGTTCTACCTGAAAGACTTTCAGCTTCTCAGTTTGTTTCATGAAACCTAATTCCATCATCATTTCTGATCTCTACGTCCGTGTAATTTTCTGACTTCCTGAGTATCCTGCAAAACTGAAATTCTTCACTATGAGGGTGGTGAGGCACCGGAACGGGTTGCCCAGAGAAGTTGTGGATGCCCCATCCCTGGAAGTGTTCAAGGTCAGGCTGGATGGGGCTTTGAGCAATCTGGTCTAGTGGAAGGTGTCCCGGCCCATGGCAGGGGGGTTGGGACTAGATGATCTTTAAGGTCCCTTCCAACCCAAACCGTTCTATGATTCCAT